AGATCGATTTCTATTTCAACGTGTTTTTGCAGCGTTGAGCAATGTAGCCAATCACGGACATATCTGTTGATTTCTAAAATCAGAGTTAAGTTAGAATCCACTCACTGCTGAAATCGCCGGAGTTTTTGGTCTGGTATTGTGTTCAGAGCGAATCATCTCATTATAACAAAGTGTTGACAATGTAAATAAGAGATTCGTTGTGCAGCATAGAGAACTTTATTGATAATAACAGATCTTTGTGAGATTGCGATGAACTAAGATGAGTGACAGCTTTTTAGTGATTATGAACGGAGCGTTCTTTGCGCCATAGCAACAGACACCAATATATATAGCCTATATAGGCTATATATACACTACCGTTCAAAAGTTTGGGATCTTTAAGAATTTTAATATATTTTACCGAAGTTTATTGTACTCATCAAGGCTGTATTTATTTGATCAAAAACACAGAAAAAACCCTGTTATTTTGTGAAAAATTATTGCAATTTAAAATAACAGTATATATTTTAATGTACTTTAAAATATAATTTATTCCTGTGAAGCAAAGCTGAATTTTCAGCATCTCCAGTCTTCAGAGTCACATGATCCTTCAGAAATCATTCTAATATGCTGATTTATTATCAATGTTGGAAACAGTTGTGCTGCTTCATGTTAATTTGGAACCTGTGATACTTTTTTCAGGATTCTTTTATGAATATATAATTTAAAAAACAGCATTTATTCAAAATGGAAATCTTGTGTTACAATATACACTACCGTTCAAAAGTTTGGAGTCAGTAATTTTTTTTTCTTTCTTTTTTTGAAAGTAATGCATACTTTTATTCAGCAACGATGTGTTAAATGGATAAAAAGTGATAGTAAATACTCATATTGTTAGAAAAGATTTTCATTTTAAATAAATGCTGTTCTTTTTAACCTTTTATTCATAAAAAAAATCCAGAAAAAAGTTCTGGATCTGGTTGTTTTTATCAGTTTCCAAAAAAAAACAAGAAAAAACATGAAGCAGCTCAACTGTTTCCAGCACTGATAATAAATCAGCATATTATAATGATTTCTGAAGGATCATGTGACACTGAAGACTGGAGTAATGATGCTGAAAATTCAGCGCTACATCACAGAAATAAATAATATTTTAAAGTATATTAAAACAGAAATCCAATATTAGAAATTGAAATAATATCTCACAATATTACAGTTTTTTCTGTATTTTTGATCAAATAAATACAGCCTTGATGAGCACAAGAGACTCCATTAAAAAACATTAAAAATCTTACTGATCCCAAATTTTTGAATGGCAGTGTATATACATACATATAGTTGTGTTACAGCACCCTCACTAATTTAAGAAGCACCCTCAGTGATTTGATTCTGGAGCCGGGCCTGATGAAATTGTATCTTATAATCTATTATCTATTCAATTTACAGGTCAAACTTCACCAAACTTGAATTATTAGTACCAATAAAATACAGACAGACAGACAAGACAGACACAGACAGACAGACACAGACACAGACAAGACAAGACAAGACAAGACAGATAGATAGATAGATAGATAGATAGATAGATAGATAGATAGATAGATAGATAGATAGAGACTCCATTAAAAAACATTAAAAATCTTACTGATCCCAAATTTTTGAATGGCAGTGTATATACATACATATAGTTGTGTTACAGCACCCTCACTAATTTAAGAAGCACCCTCAGTGATTTGATTCTGGAGCCGGGCCTGATGAAATTGTATCTTATAATCTATTATCTATTCAATTTACAGGTCAAACTTCACCAAACTTGAATTATTAGTACCAATAAAATACAGACAGACAGACAAGACAGACACAGACAGACAGACACAGACACAGACAAGACAAGACAAGACAAGACAGATAGATAGATAGATAGATAGATAGATAGATAGCATTCCGTTTTATGAGCTATATTTAAAGTTTACTCTACCCCACATCTATTACCATATTTTGATTTACATACAAACTGTATCTTATATTAAGATTTTGCGGCGAGTCAGTGTTTAGACGACAGCATTACTCCACTGATCCTATTCCCCTAAAAAAATTTTTTAAAAAAAGCAGATATCCAAAGAAGATTGCTCGGATTTGAGAAAAACACTGATCATGAAAGGATATTAAAATAGAAAAGAGAAAGAAATAACAGATTCCCAGGACTTTTCAACATGCCTTTAAGTTCCCTTCATTTGCCCTCTCTTGTCCCTCTCTCTTTTTTGTTGTTTTTCCCCACCCATTGAGAGCAATGTGTATGTGAAAGAATGTCATCGTGAGACGCACAGACTGCTCTCTACTGCCGTTTACCATCTGAAAATCATGTCTAACTGTGTTGTGTCCAAATTCACAGGCTTATTTGACTGACTTACTGAATGGCACAAGCTGGGCAGTTGTCATGTGTTCGTCTAAAAGAGAGAAGAAGTGATCCGTTTCTCATTTTTGCATTTAACCTAAATTACTTTAACGCTATTTTGATGTGCCTTTTTAACTAAAGGCTTTCTAAAATACAATTTACATTTATTTACCTGCGAGCGGAACTATGCAAATGAGTCAAGCAAATATGAGATAACCTCAGACCCAGAGCATCCTCTGGTGTTTGCTTTGTGTAAACCACTTTCATTAGGCGTTTCTGTCACACGTTATTTTTTTAGCAGCGTTTATTACTATTGCAACATGAATTAAGCGTTAAAAAAAATCGAACTTCGTATATTTTGACCTGCAAATTATGAACGGAACCTCAAACCTCCACCACTTGAGGAGAGATGCTCTATTCCTTGTCTAAATGATATACCCTACCCTACACACTCAGGCTTTCATTTAGTATACAGTGGAGATCAAAATTAGAGAACAACCTATAAACTGAAATACTTTTTTTTTTTTTAATTCTTAAATAATTGTTCATCTTCATCGCTCAAAATGTAGCTGTAGGTATACCACTGTTCTACTAACATGTTTGACAAATTATCCAAGGCATTTGAACAAAAACCTTTATTTTGTGGAAAACAGTGATCACATTAGGCGTTTCTGTCACACGTTATTTTTTTAGCAGCGTTTATTACTATTGCAACATGAATTAAGCGTTAAAAAAAATCGAACTTCGTATATTTTGACCTGCAAATTATGAACGGAACCTCAAACCTCCTCCACTTGAGGAGAGATGCTCTATTCCTTGTCTAAATGATATACCCTACCCTACACACTCAGGCTTTCATTTAGTATACAGTGGAGATCAAAATTAGAGAACAACCTATAAACTGAAATACTTTTTTTTTTTTTATTCTTAAATAATTGTTCATCTTCATCGCTCAAAATGTAGCTGTAGGTATACCACTGTTCTACTAACATGTTTGACAAATTATCCAAGGCATTTGAACAAAAACCTTTATTTTGTGGAAAACAGTGATCAAAATTAGAGAACAGTAACCACTGTAGCACGGAAGATGATTAGAAGTAAATTTTTAGAGGGTCAGCTGTCAAAAACTAGTAGGAATTGTAGAGGCCCTTGCTTTGAATGACTTCAGCACATCTGCGTCCGCAGGACATCACTAGTTTCTCACACTGCTCTGGTATGATCTTGGTTCCACTGTTCTACTAACATGTTTGACAAATTATCCAAGGCATCTGAACAAAAACCTTTATTTTGTGGAAAACAGTGATCAGAATTAGAGAACAGTAACCACTGTAGCACGGAAGATGATTAGAAGTAAATTTTTAGAGGGTCAGCTGTCAAAAACTAGTAGGAATTGTAGAGGCCCTTGCTTTGAATGACTTCAGCACATCTGCGTCCGCAGGACATCACTAGTTTCTCACACTGCTCTGGTATGATCTTGGTTCACTCTTCTTCCACAGTTTGGTAACTGTAGTGGGTTTCTTAGCCGTAACTTTATCACCAAGGATTTTCCAGAGATTTTTTTAGTCTGGCTTAGATCAGAACTCTGGGCAGGCCAGTTCATTATTTCAATGTTTTCAGCTTCAAGGAACTGCTTTACCCATTTTGCAGTGTGACAGAGGCATTGTCCTGAATGAAAACTGCAGGCTGATTGGGAGATGTTTGCAGGGAAGGAATTGCATGTTGCTGAATGAGGTTCTGATAAACATTTGCATTCATCCTGCCATGTCTTTCCCCAGTTTGGCGCTGAACAAAGTGTATCCCATCGGACCCAACTAAATTAAACTTGCAATTCCAGCTGCAGTGTTGAACCGACTCCCCATTGAGAGTCTCTGCATTATCTTGTCTTCTCATGCATGTCTTACGTGGAAGACCAGCGGTTGGGGGGCTTGAATGAATTAGTGTAAATTTGCAGTATTCGAGAAATCACAGATTTGGAATTATTAACTTCTCTTGCAGTGGCTGAAAGTGTCATCCCTTTGGCCTTCATCTGGACTGCCTCCTGTCGCAGGGTTTCAGTCACCTTACAGCAGCCCGCAATCTTGCAATCTCAGTGAAAATTAGAGGAATGCTGCCAGTTAAATAGGGGTTGTCATATAATTAAGAAAATATGCACCAGGTGATAACACCAACAACTTCTCTAATTTTGATCAGAGTTCTTTTTCAAATACCTCATTTAAGTTTTTATACTGTGCTGCAGAATACAATTAATTTATGAAATATGCTTTAAAAACTGCCCTTCTGCTCCCGTTAGGATAGCTTTAAATAGGACTAAGCAGTGACCTTGTTCTCTAATTTTGATCTCCCCTGTAAATCTAGTTGGAAAATCCTACTACACCAAAGGAACCCTACAGGCCTACTATAACCGAATTCCTGAAAATGTTAAAGACCACCATACCATCTTATTTATTTCAATTTGTAGACTATTACTTAGCAATTGTGAAGTCAAATTTATTCATATTCAATAACAGCTTTTTTATAATGGTCAGATTTAAATATTTATAACAGAATATATTTAATAATATTATGCAAACAAAGGCTTTTACACTACAAAACAGACCAAAAAGATAGTCTAATTTAAGATACATACCTGATGAAAGGGAATTCTTCGGTTATATTAACAGTGTTATTAGACACAGCTATGGCATACCTGCACACAAACAAGTGCAGAAAGAGTCAAATAAATAAATGTTTTGTATTGATATTGAAAAGATATTGAGGATATTAAAAAGGGTGTGAGAAATATTTTGAAAAGAGTGAGAGAAACATGAAGTAATACTCACACAGCCCACATCCCAATAGTCCCAAACACTGCCAGGGTGACAGGAAGTAATGCCCAAGCCCACATGATGGACCAATCAGATCACCTGAAGAAAGACCAAGTGTCTCTTTACATACAGTGGGTACGGAAAGTATTCAGACCCCCTTAAATTTTTCACTCTTTGTTATATTGCAGCCATTTGCTAAAATCATTTAAGTTAATTTTTTTTCCTCATTAATGTACACACAGCACCCCATATTGACAGAAAAACACAGAATTGTTGACATTTTTGCAAATTTATTAAAAAAGAAAAACTGAAAAATGCTCAGTATTTAGTAGAAGCACCCATTTGATCTAATACAGCCATGAGTCTTTTTAGGAAAGATGCAACAAGTTTTTCACACATGGATTTGGGGATCCTCTGCCATTCCCTCTTGCAGATCCACTCCAGTTCTGTCAGGTTGGATGGTAAACGTTGGTGGAAAGCCATTTTTAGGTCTCTCCAGAGATGCTCAATTGGGTTTAAGTCAGGGCTCTGGCCGGGCCATTCAAGAACAGTCACAGAGTTGTTGAGAAGCCACTCCTTCGTTATTTTAGCTGTGTGCTTAGGGTCATTGTCTTGTTGGAAGGTAAACCTTAGTTCCAGTCTGAGGTCCTCATCCCTTTGGCCTTCATCTGGACTGCCTCCTGTCGCAGGGTTTCAGTCACCTTACAGCAGCCCGCAATCTTGCAATCTCAGTGAAAATTAGAGGAATGCTGCCAGTTAAATAGGGGTTGTCATATAATTAAGAAAATATGCACCAGGTGATAACACCAACTACTTCTCTAATTTTGATCAGAGTTCTTTTTCAAATACCTCATTTAAGTTTTTATACTGTGCTGCAGAATACAATTAATTTATGAAATATGCTTTAAAAACTGCCCTTCTGCTCCCGTTAGGATAGCTTTAAATAGGACTAAGCAGTGACCTTGTTCTCTAATTTTGATCTCCCCTGTAAATCTAGTTGGAAAATCCTACTACACCAAAGGAACCCTACAGGCGTACTATAACCGAATTCCTGAAAATGTTAAAGACCACCATACCATCTTATTTATTTCAATTTGTAGACTATTACTTAGCAATTGTGAAGTCAAATTTATTCATATTCAATAACAGCTTTTTTATAATGGTCAGATTTAAATATTTATAACAGAATATATTTAATAATATTATGCAAACAAAGGCTTTTACACTACAAAACAGACCAAAAAGATCCAGGATGAAGCATAATTGTTTGTTCACTGAGATAGTCTACTGGAAAACTACACTGATGAAACACACTTTTAATTATAAACTATAATTTAACATCATGTAAATGTTAAGTAAACAATATGCTCATGAATTCAGCATAGCATTTCTGCAACATATAATTTATATTGTAAAATGTGGATTTGAACGGTGTTTTATGTGTGTTTCAGTGCATTTAGCAGAGTTGTGCAGATTATAGTTCATTGTCTCCACATTAAATAGCGAGTTTGTTCAACTTGTACGTATCTGTCTGATTACCACACAGCCACAACTTGCCAGCTGCTCCTCAGTGAATCTCCTGTATTGTCCACACACCATTAGCGTCACTGCTGCTTTTCCTTTCCTTGTTCTGTACAGTGAGCTTGTGGCAGTCAATGTGTCTGAATTCTGCTGCAAAAATCGCAAAGAGCGCAAAACAACACATGACCAGAGCCCACTCACATATGGCAGCTTCAGAGCGAAACCCTGTTTTATAGAGAACAAACACTGAGAAGACATAAGGTTAAGGACAACAAAATTACAACTTATAATAATATGAAGTGAAAATGCATTCACTTCATAACTGAAATGAGTTATGAAATTTTATCATCTTTTAGAGCTGAAGGATACTGCAGATGACCAAACAAGTACACAGGCTGCAGAGGACGATGCGCACTGGCACCACCCACTTGCGGTCATGTGACGGCGAGCTGTAGTACGAAAGCCACGCCTGGATCCAGAAATAAACCAAACCCAGGACGAAGGCCATGAGCGCCCCAAACAGATGAACCCCCATCACTACAGATTGCTAATAATGCAAATGCAAACACAAATAAGCACAACACAATTTACAAGTAATCAAGTAACTCCCGTTTGTTTGTAGGCTATATACTGTACCTGGAAGTTTCCTAGAATGGAAATCCCAATGCTAGAGATGAAGCCAAGCACCAAACCGGCCGTGTTTAAATGAGACCCAGAACCCAAATCACGGACCTGCTGAAATCTGATTGTGACAATCCACAAAGCTACGGAAACAGAAAGAGTTCACACAAAAGGTACAGTACATGGGCCAATTTTCCAAATAAGATGAGAGGACTCACCCAACACACAGCATATGTTGCAGATCTGAGAAAACAGGCAGCTCTGGGGGTTGTATGAGCCACATGTGCTGGAGGAAACAATATTCATTGATTTTCAATGTCATATTTTCAAATTTATTAGCATGTATAAATTTCACTGTGACCTAGCAAACATTTCAATGACTGAACAGTTCCCTATAAAGTCTTCACAGGATATTCAACCAAGGCATAGAAACGTGTCAAATTATGTATTATATACATTTATGGAGCAATAATTATGGATTATGGATTATACATAAGGAACCTAGGAATCAGAAGTCAATTCTAGATAAACAGTTAGGAAGTATCTGCTTAGGTTTTTACAACCCCACCAATATAAGATATCACACAGTGTTAAAGGGAGTGTCACGTTTTTCCCCATACACCTGTCCTGGTTATAGTGGTGTTGAAAGTCATCTTGTATTTTATTCTTTACTAAAGAACAGCATATGAAAGAGAGTCTTCTTACTTTCAACTCAATTCAATTCAAGTTTATTTGTATTAGGGCTGCAACTAACGATTATTTTGATAATCGATTAGTTGACCGATTATTTTTCCGATTAATCGATTAATCGGATCTTCTCATTTCTTTCTTTTTTTTGACAAAAAACACTTCCACATTCTGCCCAATGTCCTTTAAACAAACGTGTCAACTGAATGCTATGAAAATAGTGCTTAACAATTTATTAGACACACATCATAATAAAGATAAAACACAAATATTTTAGGAATCTGTCAAAAAAATTGTTTAAATCTAAAAATGTTATTGTCATTTATTGGGCAAATATCAAACTAAGTAGGCTAGTATTTATTCACATATTAACAAGAATGTCCTCCTATGCCTTCCATAACAGCTTGCATTCTTGCTGGCATTGTTTCGGTACTTTTTGACTGTAATTGGGTATCTGAGAGCTTGACTATTTTTTTTTTCTGCCTTTTTTCATAGATAACAGCAATATTCAATGTCATATTTTCAAATTCACATCCATTTATTATGCCTTTCTAGCTCTGGAACATCTTACAGACACACGGTTAATCACTTAAAGCTTTAGTTAAAATCATAAGTAAACACTTCTTCAGGAAGCTTAGATCCATTAATGTTAGATGGAGGCTTATTTTTAGCTCAACAATTACCATGTTGTTAAAATATATATATATATATATATATATATATACCATACCTGCCATTTTCCCAGGACGCGTCCTGGGAAAATGGCACATATGGTCGCCCTAATATATTATAGAGTTGTGTGGGGGGATTTTCATTATCGATAATAATCGATTTTATCGATTAGTGGTTGCAGCCCTAATTTGTATAGCGCTTTTCACGATACAAATCGTTGCAAAGCAACTTTACAGCACTTTACTTTTCTGACTATTAAAAGCCTCAAAACCAAATTCCCTTTCAGCGTTTTTCAAGCTGTACATCTGCCAGTTTTCCTTCAAATGGCAAAGACTGGTATGCAGATATTGAGACTACGGTTTACTGCTTCACTGGGAATTAATATTACTGTCCATCTCCCATGTAGCCTATTATTTTCTCAGGCCAGCAGAGTAGAATGACATTCCCTTTTATACTTTGGTTCTTCTTTTCATTACTCTTGTGGAAATTGTTCCTACCACTAAGAACAGATGTTTACAATCATGTAAAACAGTTTTTATGACAATTATTATAAAATAATCTTAATTCAGGGCAAATGCAAAGGGTTAGACACCAAAGGATTTCTTATACCAGCACTGACGTCAAACCTACAACCGTATGTCAAAAGAGCCGATCATCTATATTTGGACTGTCTGTCATTTCTGTGAGTTTACTTAACGGACTAAAATGTCCACAAATAAACATTGGACATGCGAAATATAATAGAGTAAGAAAAGACTACAGAAATATCACAATCACCACTGAAGTGATTTTAGCATGCTAGCTGTACGTTAGATACAGTGATTACAGCAAAAAAGAAAAACAAAGTGTTTCAATTTTCATTTACAAAGTGTTCAGTTTAAGAAAATAAACCTAAGATCGTAAAAGTAGTAAGAAATCTTAACTTTGAGGAAAGAGACAATGAAATAAGCAAAAGAAACGGAAAGCATAACTTACATGTTCGTAGGCTATAATTTACAAAGTTACCGTTCAAAAGTTTAGTTAATTTTTATTATATAGCCTATTTATTTTCATTTAGCAAGGATACAAATTCAAAATTTAAAATATAAATGTTTAGACGTTTCTGATAAAAGTATTTTTAATGATTTCTGGAGGACCATGTGACACTGATAATGCATTACAATTAATTTTAATAAAAATAAGACAGCATGTGAGCAAATAAGGGACCTCTTTCAAAAACATTTAAACAATCGTACCGACTCAAACTTTTGAGCATTTGGAGCGTAGCATATTTGAATAGCAAATGAGAAGAACCTCACCTCTCACCTACAACGCTGCTTGTGTAGTACGTGTGTATGTTCCTAGAAATCAAATCACATTATATCTCACACACACACACACACCTGCTTTTCCTTCTTGCAGATAGCGATGCATCACTCAGAAACAGCTGCTTATACCTGCTCGTCAAAGCAATATCAACTCGCATACAGGAATGCACATATGGCCAAGTGTTCAAGGCGAACGTCAAAATGGAGACAAAATATGATTTTTGGCACAACAGTTTTAACGTTTATGAGGGATGGCCTTGTTGGCGCATAAAAACATCCAGCGAGCGGGTAAGTTAAATAAATCATTTTTTAAACGGGCGAAATCAAAGAAGAAACGCCAGACAGGTTCAAGCAGACCGTACGTGAACGTTCAACAGGTTTCAAACCATTTGTGAACTATGAACTTTGCGCCAGATCATAGCATTGCGACTACGGCAACCTGTCGACCTTTCCCCCGTCTTGTTCTATTTCACGTTTGTCACACCCTCATGAAGAATTGTGCCATGAGTAACACCATATCATTTACACATAAGTGAATAATCTGTTGGTTCCTCCCTCATTTTATTACAGCCAGTTAGCCATTAATTGCCACAGTAACGCAGAGACCTTCTAAATCATCTAAATACTGTCATTACAGTCTTTGTTATTACTTAACATCACGTGAATGTAATTAAAATACCTCAGAAAAATAAACAAAAAAATAATAATAGTTTTACGGGTTATGTCTATCTTCTGGATACATGGCCTAACACCCATTAAAAAAAAGTATAACATGCTATAATACATAAAAATAACGCGATTAAAATATTTTAACGCAGTTAACGCACTAGCCCCGCCCCCAGACCTGTACGTCATCTTACATTTCAAATATGATGCAGGGCAACTCCATAAATGCAGTTATGCCCTAAAAATCAAGATATTGGTGCAAAAAATGCCCCTGTATGACTTATCTTATACTCATAATTATATCATACTATATCACACCAGCAGTGAGAGCAATATCAAGAGTGCTGATTTTGTCCCGAATATCACGAGTTTAAATGTGATTTTATACTACAGTTCAGCAAAAAAGAAGTTGATATTGTGTTATATTTTAAACACAATATTATGTGTTATTGCTCAATTTTGCAGAGAACAGAATTGTTGTGCATCTGCAACACAGTGGTGTTTTCTGAATGAATCCGCGTTTTGAACGAATCGTGTGAACCAATGATTCAAAGCCGTTTACTGAATTCCTGAATGAATCAGCCTTTCTAAATGAATGAATCAATACATTTAACGCAACCAGCTG